GTAGACCTTCAAACTTTCGTTTAATCCGAAGTTCAGCAGCCACCCTCGAAACTTGCCTCACCCTCGGATTATTTCCATCTTACGGGAATGTCGCGCGGGGTAATAATAAGTTTAGCAGTTTTTTTTCCCTCAATTTATCGACGGGTCATCCGCGAAGAACTATTTTAGTTCGACGCTTTCATCTTCTAAACAGAGACTTTCGAAAGATCGGCGGATGTTCATTGAATCATGGAACTGGTTTCATCGTTCGACGTTTAACCCTTTGGGGATGAAGATTCTTTAACGCTGAAACTGCCGAGCAATTAAATTGGCTTTTCGAAGTTTCTCTGCGGAAACTCCGGGAGTTCATCTGTCGAGGCTTGAATTGATTTATAATTAGTATTGCTGAATCAATTTCTGTCGTAATCTCTCAGAACATACGTTGTCTTTTTGATAATCGCGAAATCAAGAAATCAGGGATGGTCGTCGATATCATTGATAGTAGTTCTAATTGATAGCATAGTTGTAACAACTGATAATTTCCAGTAATAGAACAGGCGGTTTCAATATTCAATAATTCTTAGCGATATATTTAACCTGAAGAAATCAGGGATGGGTCATCGATATCATAGTAGTTCTAATTGATAGCATAGTTGTGACAAATAACTGATAATTTCCAGTAATAGAACAGGCGGTTTCAATATTCAATAATTCTTAGCGATATATTTAACCCTCCCAGTGTATATAAATAAAGTTCAACGGTAAAATAGAAGCTCGTAGAACTAAGGAAAGTTGCGCGTTACACTTCGTAATTTATCGAGCACTCCCGCGTCGAATAAATATTTCTCTACACACGTAGCCGTAATCGGTAACTCCGTTCGTTTTCCGATTTCATTCGCCATGCGTCGCGCAGGAAATTTCAAAGGAATCGAACGAATTGAATAATTTATCAGTCAATCGAAGGCGGAGAGGCGCTCGACGGAGATTTCCCAAGAAACGCGCACCCACCCGACCCGCATTAAGAGAACGCGTATTATTTATGTCAAGAAAAATTAGAATCGCTCGCGAGCCTTGTAAAGGGAAAGCCGATCGTTAACTACAGGAAGACACTTTTATCGCGGCGATCTCGTCCGATCGTTATCCGTCGTCGGCGGCGTTTCTCCTCCCATTATCCTTCTTTAACAGCAATAAACAATGGGCAACGTTATTCTCGGATAGCCCGGGAAACTCTCCTCGGGGACTCGATCATTTTTTGATGAGGCACACGCTCGCCGGAATCGACGGACCCCCGTGATCCAATCATCGGTCGCAATCTCCGACCATCTATTTATATTCGACTCGTGACATTTTTTTCCTCCACCGCTCGTACATTTTGTATGACGATAGAGTTCCGCGCGGATGCATAATGAATGAGCGGATAAATATACATTTCTGACTATAATAATAAATTATTCCGTGTTACTCGCGCGCGTGCGATGTTGTTTCTTTCCGAAGTGGACGTGGCTAACGTATTGTTTCAACTCGAATACGAAACCTTTTGTAGATTCTGCCAAATCGCACATCGAGTGCCTAAATAATGTAGAATAAGGAAATTATATGCTGGTTTCTTACTGTTTGAGTAGTTGAGTGTCGACATTTGCTACAAAGGGATAATTCGCGTGGTTATCGAAGTATTCTCGAATTTTTCGTTGAGTACTGGTAATTGCAATATTCCATTTAATCAAGCTAACACGTTAACCATGTCACTAGTGACCGACGCTTCTGACTATAAAACAAGGTAAACGATGACGAATGAACATAGTGATATAAATAATTGAAAATAGCGTAATGCAAGGATTGCAATACCAAATAATTAACAATTGTTCCTGCTTTTCTTTGCCACAGAACAACTACGGAAGAACGCTCAAGATTTTCGACCCGGTTGACGCGTTAAGCGGTATTTCATTAACTTGGATTTTCTGAATTAAGTGTTACAGACGATGATTTTGTTAAGGGCTGTTTTAATTGGCGACATTTGAGACAATAGACTTTTCAGAAATCAACCGCGAAACATAGTAGTACCTGTGCATCGTCGAGATGCATTTACAATTCGACGGGCGTCGGTACATTATTGACTGACGCGTCGACGAGTTGACAGTCATTAATAAGTGATTCGAATATAACGGGTTCAGTCCCTCTAGACGCAGATACGAACGGTACACGGTTATTCGCATGGAGGGCTGGCATTAAGCCTCCACGGCCCTAAACCGATAAGCCGATTCTACAGGCTGTCGACCTGTACTTCCGTTCCAGTGGAACTTCGATACCACGCCGACGAGCTAATTGTTGCTCTTATTCGCGGCGTTTAATTACCAATTTAAATCCAATGGTATCAGATAGGAAATATAATATTCAAATAAAACGAAGAGCATCAGAATCTAAACAATATACAATACAACAACAAATTTATAATTATGAATAGAAGATAAAATGAAATGGAGAAAGCTTAAAATATTGACTGCCTTGATGGTCAATGATTTCCGAATAGCTTAGAAACAAATTTTTAATACCATGCATAACTGGATAGTGTAAAGTAAAAATTCTGATATCGAACGATTGGTGATTATTTCTATTTATTGCTACTAAATAATTCAACCCTTTGCAAACGAAGATTCTGTGAAACGTACCAAGCCTTCAACAGATGAAACTAAATTATATATCAATTGTATAATTGATAGAACAAAAGGAAACTACGTGCTGATCTCTTGCTATTCGAGTAATTAAATCATTTTTGTGACTTAGTCTTCGAAATATGAAAATTTCATCTCGCCGGAACGTCGACATTCGTCCGCAAAGGGTTAATTATCTTTGCTGCTAAAATGATCTTTGCAATAAAATGTTATCTTAACAGTTATCTTTGCTACTAAAGAATGAGCCACATATAAAACCTTCCAAATTTTCATGGCAATTAATGTTCCACGCGTTAATGTTCAAGGATTTGTATTGGTAACGATCGAAATTCAAATAATCGGAACCAATGGCGTGAACCGTCTTTGGGGGATTGCGTGTACGTTCGCATAATCAACGGCAATGCAAACGAAATCATGCTCGGCCGTGAGATTTCCGTGGACGTTCCCATTCAACGAGTAAATTCGTCCCGGTGACAGGCTTCACGTGACGCAAATGCAGCGTGCGTTACGTGCCTGCGTCCGTGCGGATGACAACGACAACAGGCAACGGCATTATCAGAATCGGAACACAGTTGTGTCAGTTCCAGATGCGCGCGTTTCGTCATTTATGGGCTTCAGATGCTCCGATTCCGATGTCCAGGCCTTTGTAACCGATTTCCTGAGAGGTTTCCGACTTATTTCGACGAGATTGTCAACGAAAATCTATTTCTGATAAATATCGACAGTCTGTCTATTAAAATGTACGTTACTTTTGCTTTTTAAACCTTTGCACTGGGAAGTATTTCGTTGGAAGTAGTTGTATTTAGTTATAATGTGATTTTAATTTAATTATTAACCCTTTGAACTTTGTAGGCTCCAATATTGCACCAGTTATAATATCAAATATTTTAATGAATCTTAAAGAAACTACTACAAGTTTTATAGTTTTCCTGTGTCAAATCAAGGGTTGATTGACTCGAGTGCAAAGTGTTAAACTGTAAACTAATCGAACATTTTGATTTTTCGGTTTCATTTATTATTTAAATTCTTATAATTTAGTTACCACTTATCTACTTATTACTAAATTACGAAGTAGTTTCCTCGTTTATTCTCGATCTTATTATAAGATTCTTTCGGTTATCTGAATCGCTCTGAAATTATATTTGCCGCGCTTTTAATTCCTATGATTGGCAAGCCTCAGTCGGTAATCTTCGGACGGTAAAGAAGAGGAAAAAAGAGAGGGAAACAGTCGCGTGAGTTTGGCACATAAAATATTAATTTCTGTTTACAAGTGTCACTTTACAACAAAGTGAATAATGTTTTGATAAGAGTACTAGACCTGCAACGTTTAATTATAGAAAAAACACGACAATGTAGAGTAGAAAGTGAAATTTATGATACGTATATCACATTTAGCGATTAAAAGAGGATAAATAAAGTCGAAATGACTCACGATATGACGCAGAATGCAGCGGAGAACCGTATATCATAAATATCTTGGATCTTCTTGTTGTTTTCTGGGTTCGTTGATAGGTTATGGTACACTTAATTACTGTTACAATACTTGTATACAATATTAGAACACAAATAGAAAGCTACTTGAACGAAAAGTGAAAAGAAGTGTAAATGAACCGTTATTAGTAGCCAGCGCTGGTGGAAAATGTAATTAAACAAAAAGAAAAAGTTTCACTCGCACTGAACACACGAATTTAAACTCACCCACTTCGCGGTAACACGGAAGGAACTGCCACAACTGCGCGCGCACGTACGCCGCGAAAAATGGCGCACTTTTGAATGGCAAATCAGATCGCAGCCTCGTCACGTGATTCATTCTGATTTGTCAATTCGTATTGGGTGGGGATGAAGGCAGTTAAATCAGCGTAGGAATATTTAAAACGTGTTCAGACATGTTTAGTTGCACATGGTTGTTCCAAACTCTGTCGTGTTCGTATATTGTAACTTACAAAAATTCAGGTTCACCTTTAAATTCACTTAGTTCTTTCTGGTGAGTGCACATTTACCAAATTTACTTTCCGAATAAAACGTTTATACTTCTAATGCGTATTATAAACAATAGCAAGAAATTTAACCCTTTGCACTCGAAAATTCTCCAATGGAAATATTCAAGATTTTCTGACGAGATATAGGTCATATTGTTTGAAACTAATTTAACGATAATTCATAGATAAGTTAAGCAACAGAGCTGTTTCATTGAAATATTTCACGTAGCAATGCAAACTTTAATTTGAAATATTAAATATTCAACTTCATAGTTTTGTTGCATCGAATCACGTGGTGAGAGTCACCTCTCGAGTGCAAAGGGTTAATACACGAGTTGCAAAAAATCATTAAATTCAGAATACTGTCCCACAGAAGCCATTGAGAGAGCTGGGCCGACTGTGCCTCGGTACAGGTGAGCAGAGCAACGTGACGGCAGAAGTTTGCACTGAGACACGTGGCGGACTTCCTCTTTTGCAAGTATGGCCGAGCGATTCGCCGAGGGGCGAGGCCGATGGACAGGCACAGGCCTTCGTGTTCCCGGATGTCCAGGAAAATGTAAACGACAGCGGGATCGAATCCATACAGGTAAAATTAATCAACTGAAACCAATCTTTTTAGCTGCCTAGAACACCATGTTCATTATCTTCCCTCAAAAGGATGAGATTTCCACTGGAACAACAGCACCAAAAGCACGCGACCTACTTTACATCACCAAGCACTGAATTCTCAACAAAACAATCGCACTGTAATATTTTAGACTCACAAATTATTCTTCAAGGAATTTACCTTTAACGGACTGGAAGTATTTCAAGTTGACCATTAAAAAATACTGTAACATAAATGACAAGCGAAAACAAATTCATAGAAGTGACCTGGCAGAATGCTTAATATGTTAATTGTAAATATTACAAGAATAATAGTGATAAAGATCATAAAATGAATTATATGGCGTTAGTCCGTTAAGGGTTGAATTAATGAAATATATAAGTAAAAGTTTCATTTATTTTACTTAATGTTTAAGTATATTTATCCGACTTCTCGTGCCAGTCAGTAACAATGGAGTTTGTTATATTCTACTGTAGGGTTTGCAATCGCTTCCTGAGAAAGAATTTCAAATCTTTTCGAAGGCATCGCCGTCGCCGTGCGGCGTGGCGAGCACTAGCCCAGCCGCGACTCCTCAACAATCCCGTCGCGCTAGTCTACTCCATCCGGATCACGCTCGACTGCAGCTGCATCATTTGCATCACAATCACCACAATTCCGGATCCAAGAGCCCGCCGTCTCCGGACCGCACATCCATCGACGAGGAACCGCCTCCGCTGCCGCCGAGTCCTTCGAGTTCAACCACCAGCAGCCTACGCTCGATCCCAAGCTCCGCTATCGCTTCGATGCACTCGCAGGACAGGAGACGCAGCAGCAGGTACAGAATTCATATTCTATTCTTCGGGGAGTCGGCCTGAAAAACTTCTCATTAAATTACGCGACTCCTCTGTGCATCTATCTCATTTACAAATTAATCACCGAGGAGATTCTCATCGAATTGCAGAATACTCTCCATGGTCCATAGTTCCGAAAATGATGCACCTAGCTCCTCTGATCACAATCATATCTTATGGAATTGCTACCTAATTTGCTTATCTAACAATCGATTACTTGTGCAATTGGGAAACTACATTTTTATAATAGTTATGCTTATGTTATTTCATCGAAACGTTTATTTATACCGATGAGAATTCGTGAATCGACCGCGACGGTTCACGTGCTTTCTAAAAAAGCGTGCCAACGAGGGAAGGGAATTTATACATGACCGGCGAACGGCGTGTTTGATAAATCCACAGATCCTACGTAGATTTCCCAGTCTGACATGATTTAAATAGAATCAGTCTTGATCCTATCGCCGTTCCGCGATACGCGGTCAGATAACTTCGAAAAGAAAATATCACCGGCGACCTTAATGCACGCAGACCCGCGATGTTTTCCCACATGTGGCAAGTGCAACCCCTTATCTATCCGCACACCCGCGCACATTATGCAGAACACAGATCCATACTGATGGAACAATATTTGCACAACTTCGTTCACGTTCGGTTACCCAATCCTCGCTCGCTGACTCAGCCGAATGGTCGATAGCGAAACACCCTGGAACGTCGCGCCCTTAGCATTGGTCATGATTCCAGGCTAAAACCCTTATCAACCATCGAAAAGTATTTCTTTCGAGAAACTATAACGTCCAAGGCTGCTCTTGATTCATAAGACTATAAGCTCCGAGGCTAATGAAAGTAGGGCAAATAATAAGGATCAGCTTATATTTACCATATAACAATTAATTTAAACAATCACATGTCTTATTAACACAACAAATTACTATTACCTAAATACTATAGTAATTTAAACAATTTTACTCATCAGTTTCCAACAAAGCCACCCACTCAATAACCCACACAATTCCATTTCACCATAAATTGTCATTACATTTCACTCGACTCTCGAAAAAACAATGGCCATTACTTCCAGAAGTGATCGATGACCGTCTTGTTGCTTCGAAACACTTTTCTCCCCCATTTATCCCCAACGTTCTTCGCAGTTCCTCGATACAGGCACTCGATCAAATATTAAAGCGCCTCCGTGGAACGCCGTTTCTAGAACAATGGGCTCGGGGTGGAGACTTCCTTGGCGTCGTTTCTTTCATCGTCGCCGGAGAAAGTCCCTGAACGACGGTCTCGCCACTCGATCCGTGAAAGTTACGTCACGGGGAAAGTGGAGCTAGAAATAATCCCTCCGGCTGATGCGTCCCGACTCGCGTCGTTCTTGGCTCGTGTCAAGGTGCGACCCTGGCACCATGCAAATACGGTCGAGCAGCCACCCCGAACACGTGGCGCGACCGCTCCCCCGCATTGTGCGATATTAATCGGTGGCCCCCGGTGTCCGAATAATTCGCGGCGCTGGTGTATTCCCGTCGCGAAGACGGAAATCGCTTCGCGATCCGGCGCCTCCCCTTCCTTCCTCCCCTATTCTTCTTCGTCGTCGTGAACTTTCAAGGGAGGAACCTTCACCCAGACACTGAATCGATCCGACGAAGCGCTCGGTTTCATTTTCATTCGAGGGCCTTTCCGACGGCTTCAAGTGGCGACGTAATGGATGAAGGCTGGAGGACGTTTCCCGAAATGGGGAAAACGTCGGTCCGCGGACTTAATTATGCGCCTGCGACGGCGGAGGGTCCTTTCGGAAGCGTTCTGAAAGTGTTTCAGCGAATGTGGACAAATTATGTATACTGGAATATGAAAAATGGTTTTGCTTATGACTATGAGGATGGACGAGTATTGAAATAAATTAAGGATAATTAGTAAATTTAAACGCTGAAGGCAATCCCGAACTCCAACCTCAACCAGGATCCATTTCCATGTTCACCTTAGCTCCAAGTTCTATCTAGGACACCTCTTCCATTGAACACTGCTTGTAACCTATCAACCAAGGATCGACCGAAACAATTGGATCATTTCACGAGAATCGGGGAGAAAGAGAATTTCAGCTATCCAACATCAACATCCTACCCATCTCATTTCCCACAAGAAAAGAGAAGAATCATTTTCATGGAACATAAGAACTAGCGCCTAAGGAGACCTTAGCCTCTAAGTAGCCAAACTGATCCTCTTCCGATCAACAGGTACAGTATGTTCGACGCGTTGGACCTGGAGTACGCGCGTCTAAGGGCGGCAGCTCGTGGTTCCGTGGGCCCGTACTCTCTGTCCGAGTCCCTGCACAAGCTGACCTTCACCCAGAGCCTGGCCTTTCCGGCGCTGGCCCGCGGCCTGGCTTCGAAACAGAGCATTCCCACCAGGAGGCCGCAGCAGCACACCGAGAGCGGGCTGAACGCGTTCGCGAAGGTGGTGACCGCCCTGGTGCTGGTCCTGGTCAGCGTGCTGGTGTTCGGTGTCGTGTACAAGTTCGTGAGGACGTGAGGCTGGCTGCTGGTGCCCGATCGACAGCCTGCCGCCGCGCAGGAGTTCGATCGACCGGGCGCTGGCGATCCTCTCAACGACTAACTTCGTTCTGGTGTGATTGGCTCAGTGATTCGCGGGTGTTCGACGTTGTTCGTGGCGACTTCAGCATGTTCGGGGATCTGCCAGAGCGTTTCGTGGCTGTTTGACGTGGTTTGAAGGTGTTTGATGCTGTCTGAATATGTCTGAAGGCGTTGAAATTATTGAGAATTGAGACTTGCGAAAGAATGGTCTCGCGGCGGTCAGTGTTCGCAGATGGTTTGGAGTTGTTTGTCGAAGATGTGTGAAGTTGGATATTGAGGAGGATGTTAAGACAGTAGAAGATGGAAAATCGTGAAGGCAGAGGAGTCAGTTTGATTTCTGGTGTTGGGATCTTAAGCACTGAATGTTCTGATACTAGCGACTTCTTGAATCCTCTCACGTTTGACGCTGTTTGAAGCATCCGGGCAACCGTTTTAGATATGTATTGTATACTTACTGTACGATCGGTGGTCCAGGGAATCCTCGAATCTTGATCAGGCTTACAACAAGGAAGTCTCAAGGCGTTTGACTGAGAACTTAACCCCTTAAGCCCAGCTCGGGAAGGCGAAAGCAGCCGGAACCGATCGAGAGGACACGGAGGAAAGTAAAAAGTAGTCGAGAAGTAGGACGTAACGAACGAGCTTGACCGGAAACAATAAAACCGCGGAGATTGTTTAGATCTATATTTGGACCGGAGGCTGAATTTTGATACGGCGCCGACCCGAAGGATGAAATTTCGCGGTGGCGCTTGCGAGCGT